GGCTGTGAGGTTAGTGCTAGCCATCCTGGCAATGTTACTGTACTACCCACCATTCACATGGTAGAAGGGACTTGTCCTTGGTGCTGAACACACCATTCACATGGTAGAAGGGACTTGTCCTTGGTGCTGAACACACTATTCACATGGTAGAAGGGACCTGTCCTTGGTGCTGAACACACTATTAACATGGTAGAAGGGACCTGTCCTTGGTGCTGAACACACTATTCACATGGTAGAAGGGACCTGTCCTTGGTGCTGAACACACCATTCACATGGTAGAAGGGACCTGTCCTTGCTGCTGAACACACCATTCACATGGTAGAAGGGACCTGTCCTTGCTGCTGAACACATCATTCACAGTTACAAACAGTTATAAACTCACCAGAGATAGAGAGAGTGGGGTTTGCGCTGGCTGTCCCAGCTTCGTTCTCGCCCTGACACTTCCACAGGCCGCTGTCCTCCTTCTTGATGGCAGTTATCCTGACCACATGGTCCTCCTCCACCAGCAGGATCCGAGGGTCCCCCTGCTGCAGGACTCGGTTGTTGTGCAACCAGGTGATCGGGGGCTCAGGGAACCCCTTGATGGGACAGGCTAACAGAGATCAGACCATATTATTGAAGGCTTATTGCATGTACAGTATCAAAGAAAGTAAATGCAAAGTTAAGTTACATTGAACATACTACGACTGTCTGATCAACTGTAAGGTGCTACATTTACTATCATGGACTTCTTCTTAGAAGGCAGTGGATAGTGAACAGTTCCACATTCTGCATAATGAGTGGGTTTTGTAATCTTAGTAGAAACATAGTCTTTTGGTAACAGCTTGGGGAAATTCCTTGGTACCAGCAGGCAGCAGCTGAGAGAGCAGAGAGAGACCAATTATCAAAACTTGATGAAAGCACGACATCAGTTTTTTTTCTTGTGACCTCTCTTGACCCCTACCTATGGCCAGCTGCTCCCCAGTCATCCTGGCGATGGTGTCCTTCTCCTTTTTCCCCGTGAGGACGACGACCCCGCCATTAGCACTGACCAGCGCGTCCAGACGGGGAAGCAGCCGCAGGTCCTCCACCAAGTGAGGGTGCTCTGGAACATTTCAAAAGCATTCGGTTACAAGAATATCAACAGTACAGAATTATTGGATGTGTGAATTGTGTTCACACCGTTTAAGAAAGCTTTCCCTGGAGCTCACAAAATCATTTATAACACAAACAGCATTCTAACAGCTAGAGCAACTTTCCCTGGAGCTGAACACACTTCACAAAACAAATCTGAACGGGCCTGTCCCTGGTGCTGAACAAACAATAAACATAGCTGAAGGGTCCTGTCCTTGGTGCTGAACACAACATTCATATGGTTGAAGGGATCTGTTAATGGTGCTGGTATTTAGAGAAAAGGACTTGACACATGCCATTCACACTAGTGAAGGTAACTGTCCTTGGTGCTGAACATGCCATTCACACAGTAAAAGGGATCTGTCCCAGTTCAAAATACTACGCCACACAAAATCACATCATTTTGCTTCATCACACCTAAAAGGATCAGAGTTGAATCTCTCATGTCCTTTCCTCCAGGGTTGCCAGCCTCGCACCGGTACGCTCCCTGGTCACCTTCTGAGGCATTTGTGATGGTCAGCGAGCCGTTGGGGTGGACATTGGCATTTCTCTCCAGGGTACCATTCAGTTTGTCCCAGTTGATGAAGGGCTTGGGAAAGCCTATTGTTTAGGGGAACAGAAATAAAGTAAGATTGGCATTACATGCTTCCTCGTGGTACCGGAAAAAAATATGTATCCCGTGTTATGAGCACATAAAGTAACAATACCAACAAACTCTTATCAACTCAGAGCAGTAGATAAAGTAAATTCATCATGGAGTAGAATAAAGTCTTCCACAAGAGGGTCTAAATAACAGATAACTTACCCCGGACTGGGCAGTGGATTGTGACAGTGGCTCCTGGTTTGACCTTGACCTTTCCTCCCACAGTGACAGACACAAGGTCATCCTCAAGGTTCATCTCCTCCCTATTCCTGAACAGAATATCTGGGGCCTCTGTTGGGATAAAAAGATAAATATATAAGATAATAAAGATAATAAAAGGATAAAGAGCCCGGCAGACGCCCAGGGCCTACAGGCTGACCTGGACGCGCTGACCGAGTGGCAGGATCATTGGCAAATGAATTTCAACCCAGCTAAATGTCACACTATCCACATTACACGCAAACGAAGACCACTTGTTACGCAGTATAGTCTTTGTTCGGTAAATCTCACGACTGTAAAATCGTACCCTTACTTGGGAGTTCACATCTCCAACGACATGCGTTGGGATGCTCACATTGCTCACGCTACTGGTAAGGCAAACAGGACCTTGGGAGTTATGCGGCGTAACTTAAGCCACTGCACATCGCAAGTCAAAAATACTTGCTATAAAGCTCTAGTGCACCCTAAACTCGAGTACTGCGCCTCAGTGTGGGACCCCTACACAGCTGTTGGGGTGCAGGCAGTTGAGCGCGTACAACGCAGGGCAGCCCGGATGGTCATGAATGACTATATGGCCGCACCAGTAGTGTGACCGAAATGTTGCAAAAACTCCAATGGCCCACTCTTGCCAACAGAAGAAGAGAGGCACGGCTGACTACAATGTTCAAAATAACTCACAGTCACATGCGCATACCCCCAGAACAATATCTTATTCCTGCACAGCGGCGCACCAGAGGTAGCCACGCCTTTAAATACAATACTATTCCTGCAACGAAAGACTGTTTCAAATTCTCATTTTTCCCACGCTCGATACGAGAGTGGAACAGTTTACCTGCCCAGGCCATACAGGCACAATCTGTGGAGGCCTTTCGGGCCTCCCTACCGTGAGGTCCGCGCACCTCCCCCCCCCCCTAAGCGATACCCCTTAC